TTTGAGTTTTCTTAAGCTGTATGCCATAATCAGCAATATTAAAATAATAAAAGGCTTGCAATATTTCAGTTGATTTGTAATGAATCCAGAATGTATGACATTTTTGTTTTTTTAATTGCATTACAGAAAATAAAGAACTTTATCACAATATTCTAATTTTCTGAGACAGTCCTGTATATGCCATGTATATGAGGATTGAACATGGTTCATAATAATGAATAATTAGTCGGCATAAAGAGTGCCATGCACAAGAGACTAGTTTGCACAAGAGTGCATGTCTAATGACATGCCCGCGGCATGGGGAACCATGGGTCAATGTTGGTGAACACGAATCAACAGATTAAAAATCGTGTTGGTGAACACGAAATGCCGTGAGACTGGGTTGGTATATGATAGTGGTATCTATGTTCTCATCTATTTCTCTGCAAGACAATCAACAAGCAAAGTGTCAAACAGTTATTTTCAAATGTGCAGATCTGAAACACTACATACCAATACCAAAAAGGAAAATAGAAAAATGTAAACTTTAAATTACATTACTGGATCAGTCTATGGCCTTTTAGTCTGGTTATCACCAGAAGCAATGGAGTGAACACACAGTTGGCTATGGTTATTGTAAATGCTCCACAATATTTGAAGCATGATTACAACTGAATTTGTCTAATTTAATCACTACACTGTTCTCTCTGTCTCTATGACATATGCGCTGATTGCAGAGCCGATAGAGAGCGCCCCTGATAAGCCTTTTATTGTAATGTGCGCCAAGTGACTAAAAAAAGTTGCATGAAGTAATCCAGATGCAGGTTCGAGCACATTTTAACTCGCATAGAAAATCTGTGAGCGGGATGACAGTTCAGCCAGCCCTAATTTAAATGAGTGTAATTATATAAAGGTAGAATGGATCAACGCCCTTTTATGTTTCACAGCACCCTATTTTTGCAAGTGAATGAAAGTGATGGCATGAATCACAATCAACACAAAGTGACAGGTGTGAAACTTATATTGCAGATTCAAACCAGTGCCATGCATTGATGATAATGAGTTACTTTATTTATGAAATTAAACAACTGCTGCTGTATTTTGTGTTATGACGACTTGATGATGATTTGATAAAAAGAGGCAGCTATTTGGCCGGTATCCATAAACGATGCAAGGTGTTAAGAATGCATCAGTTCCGATGTTCAACCAAAACATCATTTGAGGCAGAGACATTTCCTTGTAGCTAATAAACAGTAAACAAATACCTCAAATCAGTTCAAACTGGGACATATTGAAATGCACAGGCTTGAGATTAATTTAAATAACCCTGTTACAAAATCAACATTTTTGAAAAACATCATCAAATAATACCTGTTTTGATCTTACACTGTAACCACACATTATTAAACTGAATTTCATGAATTGTATCTGACCGTGAAATGCTGCTGGGGTTTTTGAAAGTGTGTGACTGACATCTAGTGGAGGATATGGATCATGAATGAGCCAATGGCACAACATGGCATGTATAGCATGTTTACATAAAAGGGCTTTATTTTAACCTTGTTTAGACAACTAATATTTTGAATTATGTTGGAAGGAAATGTAAACACATGCAATCACTGGTTGTGGAATATAAAAGTTTGAGAGCAGTGTATAAACAGACGATGTGCTGATGATGTTTTTGGACAAACGGTAGTTGAAGTGTTCAGCATGTGGATTACTGGTCATTATCACCACCCTCTCACAGTGAAGCAGAGGTGGAGGCTGTAACTCGACCTTGCCCCTTAATGGCTGTGGGACAATGGTGCCCCATCCCCTTGGCTGTCTACCCCTCTGTTGTGTCTATTTATAACGTCCAGACACAGTGCAGGGGTTATCAGGGGTGCCAGTAAACACAAGAGGACAGGCAGAGAGGAGCAAAGGGTGAGACCGTTTATTGTTATTGTTCAACTTATTAATTATTTTATGTACTAAAATTAAGATCTATTTGTGTTTTTTTGTATGGTGTTCAGTTTTCTGGTTGGGTTTCTTTTACATGTTAAATTATACTATGCATATTTATACATAGGCCTACACATCCTTAGAAGATGATTCATAGTGCTGTATAACAAAACAGTTGCATGTTCTCTAACAGGCTTGAAACTCTTCTCAGAGGACCATTGTGTATATAAGCCACAATGGTGAGTGCATTTTTTTATTTGTCATCAGAAATGAATGTATGTTATAAATTGTCATTATCATAATAATTGAAACTGTTTAACGTTTTTTAAGCCTTAATATAAACCTAGAAATGTCACCTTCTATGCTATTTCTCTCTGCAGGTGAAGAGCAAAACAATAACAGTGGATTATCATAGGCATTGTGACAAGTGCTATGATGTCCACTGTCAATTCCCGGTGCTGATCTGTGTCTCATGCAAGGTGATCAAGTGTCGTAAGAACTGTAGCGCAACCTTCCATATGTGCAAGGAAGAGGAGCACAAACTCCTATGTCCAAATGAGATGGTCCCCTGCCTCAATGTTAACTATGGCTGTCCTCTTACCATGCTGCGCCACAGGCTTGCCAAACACCTGGAGGTCTGTCCTGCCAGCGTGGTCTGCTGCTCTCAGGAGTGGAATCGCTGGCCTGTTTCAGAAAATGATCTAGCCTTCTACAGAAATGTTTCAGAAAACCTTCAAACTGAGAGGAACCTTGATGTTGCTATGGCTCTCAGGGACCAAGAGCTGCTGTTTCGATCCATCAAAATGAAGAACGTTTTTCCTGAGTTGATGGAGGAGGATGGTGCTGCTGGGATCGACAGTCCTGCAGGTGAAGCTACGTGCTCTTTAGATGTAGGTGCTTTCCTGGAAAATGGCTGCACAAGGATGGAGGAAGAACTGAGCCAAGAGGAGTTGGATGCTTTGGCAAAGAGCAGAGATGTGGATGGTATTCAGAACTACAGCTCCTGGGAGAAAGTATTCAACAAGGAGGAGGGGGGATGCAAGCAAACCATGAAAAACCTGAAAAAGAAGGTAGGAAAGGGAAATGCAAAGGAAGAGCATGAATCCTCAAACTGTCAGGGGAAGACAAGAGACTCACAACCGCGCCAAGAAAATGCATCTGCCTCTCAAACCATGGATGGTGTAGCTGGCTTTGCGCCATGGGAAGACGGGGTCCTTGAAAGGTTAGGTAGAGAAGTCAACAATGCCGAATATAATAGGTATCTGGTGCAAAATGGGGCAATGTTGATCAACTTTGGTCAACTCCCTGCTTGCACCCCGAGAGAAAATGATTTTGTTTATGGGAAATTGGAGCCCATTGAGGTTAAAACCGTCCGCACATTTAATGTTCCTACCAGCTATCGGGCAAAGCGTAATTATCTGAGGGACTCCAGACAGAAGGTGAAGATGAACGTCGGTGTTGACACAGCAGATTTAGGCGTGCCAGTCGAGGATCTGCCAAAGTGTGACGAGATTAGCGCCACACTCCTGCACTCCCTGGAAAAGGAACTGAAAGGACATTTAATCTCAGAGAGTGCGGGGAGGGACGGTTTTTACGTAGATATAGGAACACAAACGTACAACTTTGCCTCTTCCCCCTTCAAACATGATGCAACGTTAGCTGATGTTGTTGCAGACAAACCTCATGGTCTCTGTGTACAAGTTGAATCAGAATCTGTCACCAGAAGACACAACAAAGCAAGTTCAGCCTTCAGCTACATGTGTGGCCACTTCTTTCGCCGTGATGAATACAGCTCTCACTTTAGGAATGTGCACTCCGACATACAGGCCTCAATAAGTGGTTGGTTCCAACAACGCTGCCCCCTAGCATACCTAGGCTGCCATTTCACCCAGACCAGGTTTCACCCCGCTGGTCTTCAAGCTACGGTTAAATTCTGTCAAGATGTCAGCGCCTTTGTCCTCCAGCCAGATGTCCCCTCATTGCTTTGTGAAGATGGGAAAACCTTCAGTCCTCAGAGAAATGCTTCACATAATCAAAATTCCCTGGGCAGCCTGCCTCTGGAGATCCTTCAGCACATTGCTGGTTACCTTGACAGTTTTACATTATCTCAGCTGTCCCAGGTCTCCCATCTGATGAGAGGAGTGTGTGCCACATTGTTGCAGGAGAGGGGGATGGTCTCCCTCAAGTGGAAGAAAAAGATATATTCCCATGGGGGAAGCTCCTGGAAATGCCGAAAGAAAGCAAGTACCCTTAAGATTCCTTTTTTCTTTTCTTTTCTGAATGCACTACTTTGGACTTCTCGCTGAAACCAATCAGTCTTTCCTTAAATTGAACTGCAGATGATTTATATAGCGTTGTCTTAATATAAGATGTTGGGGGTTAGGGTTAGGGTATATGGCCACACATGTGACGGTTATATCGCCATACTTTGAGTGCTACCAGTCCTATATATCTCATATATAACTTTGATCTAAAACTTGTACAATGGTAATGGAAAGTTAGCAGGAGGCCAAACTTTAATATCAGTTCCCCTTTAGTATCTGGCACTGTGCTATTTACTGTCCTGACAGCTGCTGCATTGTAAACACTCTCCAGACTCTCCATAGTCCTCTCTAACAATATTACAAACTGACTCACAGCCGTGTTGGCAACAGTTAATGGCTTTCCACTGAAGCAGCCACTGGAGAGTCGCTACGATTGTCTGTGTCCTTATCATAAACCAGCTGCATGTGGGGTCAGGCCCACTGGGGAAGTGTTTCGGAAAAATACATTTCATTTTCTTGGGTCGAAGCAATGTTTTAGCAACAAGACAGGTGAGCTAAATTATTATTAAGCTTTGCAATGCGTGGTATTTTCTACAGCTCAAATATCAAACAAATGAACAGCAGCTCTATAGGGGGTACGTTTATGTGTATATATGTTTGCATTACACCTGAGCTAGACTTTATACCCCATGGCTTAGGCCTCAAGTCCACAGGGGCGCCTGGTGGTCTCGCGGTCTGAGCCTTTAGGACGCCCCCAGCTGATTTTCTAAATCCCATCTGGAATTATGAGTGCTTACTGTATCAGGATGAGACTTTAAATTCTTTAGACTCATGACTACTGGACAGTTAAATACATCAAGTCTTTATATATTGAAGGAAATTGGGACACACTAAACAACAGCCAAAATATGTCAAAACATCTGTTTAAACTCAACTACACACATTCATAAAGGCACACAACGCATCTGTGCTAGTCTGAAGTGTTTTGGAAGTAGTAAGCTACTGAACGAATGAGACTTGGAATATATTCTTTTTTCTCCAAGAATTCCAAATGTCATGGCTGGATTGTCTTATATAGATGGTCACTTTGTGATTGAAGTACTTCTAAATGAAATAATTATTCCAGTCAACTCGGAAAACATATGAAAACAACACAGCACATTTGACTGCTCTTTCAAATATTACATGTACCAGTTTGGATTGGATAAAAACATTTTTGTAGCATACAATGAGTTTTTTCTTACAGTTCTAAACCAAAGAGCCTTAATATAGGCCCTAAAGTTACGCTTAACCAAACCAATCCATCTTTTGCTCACTGGCTACCTTTGCAACATTTTTCTTTATAATCTGTATAGTAGTCTTTTATCGAGCTAACAACAAGAAACCTACATATGTAGTGAAAACAATACCCTATCTACTTGAGGTGATGAAGGATAAATATAGTAGAAATGCTTAGGTGTGTATTTTCACATTGACTCTCTGTAGCGCAGTAATCGGGGGAACAAACAGCGTGCCGATGATATCAGCCATGTGGAATGGCCGAGGCTGGCTTCCAGTAAACACAATGCTGCCATCAGATGTGATCATTCATGGAAACAAGATGTTGATGATACTCTGTTGGCAACAGCTGGGTGTTTGCTCCCCAAATGAAGGGCATCATTTGTATACATTTGCAATGCATGGTAACATAAATAACATCATGCCTATGTGATCAAAATACTCCGAGATTAAGATTCCAAAGGTATTGAAATAAATGTTGTCTCATGGCCATTGCTGCTGAACAGTCGATATATGCTTTGACAGCTGCCTCCTACACTAACTCCAGCTCTGTCTCTCTGTTTTACAGGTGTGGGAGTTTAGCTCTCTGTTTTCCTCTGTGGACAGATGGAGCTTCAGCAACAATCCCTCCATGTCAGATCACCTGAAAACCTGCACCTTTTACCAGAGAGAGGAGCACACTGAGCCGGTGGCTTTAGTCTGCCTGGGAGAGGTCAGCGACAAGCACAGAGGAGCAAAGCATAAAAGATAATGCTCATAGTCCCATAGCTCAGTGGGCGGAACACAACACGAGTGATGCCGCGTTTAGAATCACTCAGCTGTGTTACTTGTCCTCCAAATATACAGCTACTATAGAGCAACAAAAGGGAATGCTGTGCTGCAGTGTGCTTTAGCCCTGCAGACATGAACTGAATTTTATTGCAAATAATTCATTTAGGCATGGACTCAATTTTGGATGTGATTGACTTAACCTCTAAATCATTGTGCATGTAAGTAGGAACAATTGTTTAATATCTAATCATCCAGTGTTTTTACGCCTAAATGAACCCTCTGATGACACTTATTTCAGAATAGTTTGAGAGATGTTTGGCATTCTGAGTGGACTCATGTTGTTTGTTCCATCCTATTTCAGTCTTGTGTTGAAAGCATTGTTTGAAAGACACGGGGGAGCTGTTGTTGACTGTTTCCAATATGACAAGACTGACATCTGCTGGAGAGACGCAGAGGTGCATCCTCTGTTAGGATCATTGACACTATTCCCATATATCATATTTAATGAGGCACAACATCACATGGGCTGTGATGAGGACACTGACAACTTTGTTTCTCATTTTGACTGTCTTTTAAGTAAAATGAGAATGTGACCCTGATATTAATAATTCTGACTTGCAGTTGGCCTCATTTCTTTTCAGCAGCATACAGATAGTGGAATAAAAAATAAATATAAACTGTAAAATGTTCTTTTATTAATCAAAAAAGGTGTACATGTACACCAAACACATTGTCTCCAATAACTACAGAGTCCCAGACACTTGAGGGTTTCGTAGTTTGTCAATCACCTCTGAAAGCATTTTGTTGCACAGGGCTGCATAGGGATTGAGAACCACAGCCTGTTGTCGAGCAAATTCACTTCCAAGTGCAGCCGCCTTTTCGAAATCTGCCCTGGCTTCATCATTCTGGCAGTCCAACCGACGTAGGAGGCCTCTCTGCACCAGCGCCTGGCAGGACGTCCGTCCAGTGCTGCCGCTCAGAGAGATGGCTCGGTCCAGGTCCCCCAGGGCTCCTGAGAGGAGAGGAGGGCACTGTGAGGCACACACACGTCTCCACTGTTGATCCCCAAAACGTAACATCTTACAGACTGCTCTCATTCTGGTTCTGCTGCAATATTCATTCTGAATCTAGCTGAATTTGTTTTGAATTACTTTAAGTATTGTAAGTATGTAGTCAGATAAGGCAAGCAAGATTATTTAGAGCACCTTTCAGCACAAGGCAATTCACCTTTCAGCACAAGGCAATTCAAAGTGGTTTACAAAAATGAAAGACATTAAGAGCATTAAGAAACATATTATAAAAGGGCATTTAAAAACACTAATTTAAAAGCAAAGATAATAAAACATGAATAACAAAGGCACATGAATAAAAAGTGCAGTGTGAGATACACACATCTGAAATGTTTAGGTCTGACTCTAAATCATTTCTAACTTTTTAGCAGAAATAGTTTTCTTTGTCCTCACTTTCTTTCTACTTTCTTTTTTAACATATCCTTTAGTTATTTCAAGTGTTTCATGATAAACGAACCCCCTTTGGAGAATTCTAATCTGCAACCCAATATTCAGAAAATTCAACGAGTCCTGGGTTGATTTGTGTAGCATATACAATTAATTTGCTCCCAGACTTTCATGTGGCGTACTAGTTTTGGACCCCATCTGTAGTCAAAAAGTCAGCACTTAAGGTCCTTTCAGTATTTCTACTAATCACTTAGGCATACAATAGTGACTTTTGAGTTTCTGTTTGATAGGAGCGTCCTCCAAGGTTAGTTTACGGGCACAACCTCACAAAACCTGCATGTGGGGACTTTAACCCCAATACACTTAAGATAAGACAGTGTATCTACGACCATTTTCAAATGATCATTCTAAATTCGCTATGATTCACATTAATCGAAAAAAACAAATGTAATTTCAATACATGTACAACAAAGTGATCTTTTTTGATAAATACTATTCAAATAATATTAATTATATAACACTAAATTGCTACTGTGTGTTTTACATCAGTGATTCCGCCAATGCTCCGTTTATATTGCAGGTTTTGCATATTATTGTAAGTGACATGTAGGTGTTTTGTTGGAAATATTCAGAAAATCTTGTTAGTCAGCATGAACAACACCTGGCACCAGGTTGCAGGCAAATTGAAAAGCATCACCTACAATTTCAATTTTAGAAACAGATGATGCAAGTCAAAATGTTAATTCTCCAGGGAGTGAGTGTAAAAATGGCACATTCATCATCACAGGTGCCAAACATGTTAAATAATGCAATACATACAAATGGCAGGGGTGAGAAGTGATTATAACCGATACATTTGTCAGTGGTATGATATAATAATATAATAGAAAGTCTTTGCTTGACTTGAGTGTCAATGGGATCAGAATATATAACAATGATCTCATAGGCAGGAATTGGGTGAAACTAAGTGATCAAACTAAGGGAGGTGAATCAAGATTATTATTTTATCCTATTGACAAAAAATAATTGAGCATTTACAGTAAAAGACTACAATAAAAACGTAATAACATCTGTCCTTAGGCATTTTTATTTTTATTTCTTTAACCAAATTACACAAATGTTGCTTATTGTGTGACCTTTTTTTGAACAAAAATGAAATAACTAACTTAATATATTTTCAATCCAGTCACTGAAACCCAGAGATGGCAAAAGTAAACACATCCTTTACTCAAGTAGAAGTACAGATACTCGTGTTTAAAAATACTCTGGTAAAAGTAGAAGAAGCATACTGACTATACTTCTTTACTCAAGTAAAAGTAAAGAAGTATGGGCTTCAGTACCCATAACTACCAACTATTTTATAGAGTAACTGACCTCCCTTTATATTAATAGAACAATAATGTCATTGTTAGCAAATGAAGGTTTCGATGCTGAACAACGGCAAAATGACAACGTTTTCATTGGTCCCTCTTCTAATGAAGGATACACGAATCGTGTTCAAATCAATAGGCACGCAATGACTCTAAATAATAATGATCACGCCACAAAACACAGATTAAAACTAAAGTAACCAACCTGTTTTGAAAATGTAAGAAGTAGAAAGTACAGGTGCTTGTGTTAAAAATGTAAGAAGTAAAAGTAAAAAGTCGTAAGAAAAATAAGTAGTGGAGTACAGTACTGATACCAGAGAAATGTACTTAACCCTTGTGTTGTGTTCGAAAGCTGTTACCGTTCATGGTGATTGCGGGTCAATTTTGACCCATGATTTATCTCAGTCCAAAACACAAAAAAAATGATTATCATCCAATATTGTTTTAACTACATCATAACTAACTTATAATGCATTCATAACCGTACAATCCTGTTGTAAGTTAATGTTATGGCCCAAAACACATTACACCACATATTGCATGCGTGCATGTGTGTGTTCAGGTTCANGTCGTCTGTTTATGTAGACATTTATATGTCCATAGAACAGAACATTACAAATTGATCGATAGATAGTTATAGATAGATAGAGAGAGATTGAGAGATTTGTACCTAAACAAAACACAAGTCTAATACCAAGCCTTTAAATCAGCACTTGTAGCGATATTTTATACTTCATGCTATCTGCACAAACTATATCATATGAAAAGCTGAGAGTCCACAGATTATATTGGTATAAATGTCATCCCTGTGCGATCAAAACTCACTGTTCTGTATGATAAATAAAATAACATTGTACCTTGCAAATCAATAGCGGGTACATTTTACCCGTTGGCGGTTTTAGGTATACAGCGACCTCTGGCGGTTCTAGTGTCAAGCTGTGTCTGTGAGCTCACAGTAAAAGGATAAAGGGAAAATGAAGATGGCACACAGCATTTGTTTTTCCAGTTTTTATTCTTTAAAATGCTCCTGGGTCAGCTGCTGCTTGTTTAAAAAGAACAGAAAAATATCAAGGATGTCATCTAGAACATTTCCAGCTTTAGAAGGTGTTATGCAGAGTGTGAGCAGCTCCTCTCCATAGTCTCACAGAAGCTTATACAATTTGGAAAATGCTGAAGAGCAGATCTTGCTTTCATGGATACAAATGGCCTGGGATATTCAAATGAACACCTCCATCCTAAAAATCTATTTACTGTATGCTGATATGGAAGAATCCCAAAAGTGAAATAAATGTATTCCTCATCTCATATAAAAACAGTACAGTTGCATTAATCTTGTTCTGCTTCCTCCGTTTATCCCTTTCAGGTGGAAATCACAGCAGGGTCCAAAGAGATGAGAATATTTTCTTATTTAACACATTGCATTGGTTAACAAGATCAATGACAGTATTACCTTAAGCTAATCGGGTGAAGATTTCTGTTACGCTCCTTTCATTTACAGCTGTGAGCTAACATTTATAAAATGATGCTTATACTTGAAAGGTTGCCCAATGCTGCCAAAAAAAGTGCCTACCTCAGCTTTAACAACATCCTTTTAACAACTGAAGTTTAAAACAATACAATATTAGTAGCATCATACTTAGCGCTTTAAGGGACCCATATGATGTTCCTCTTTCCAGTATTGTGATAGGTCGTTGTGCATGTTGATGTTCTATAAAAGGTTAAAATCCCAAAGTTCCCAGGGAGTTTCTCTCACACACACTCCCCCCTGGCCTGAAATGATTCGATTATAGCCCTCTGACATAGCCCTCTGTGACATAGTGACATCACTATGTAACCCTTGCGCTTCTATTGGCTAGCGCTCCAACACATTTTATGTAATAGGCTTAGGGGCCGGACATCTCTAAGCGGTTGACCATTCACAACAGAGCCAGCCAGCTAACCAATAAGAGCACACTGGGCTCTGGTTTCAGACAGAGGGTGAAAAGAGGTGCTGCAGCACAGGCAGTATGAGAAAAATAAAGAGCTTTTTGAACATTAAAGCATGGAGACATGTCACAGTAGAGGCACAAAATACAAATATGAACCTAAAAAATGTGCATTAAAGGGCCCCTTTTCTTGGTCAATTTTTGTTAATCAGTATTTTCCTCAAATATCTCAGCTTGAACAGTTTGTCAACATTGACATTTTTTCTGACAAGTTGTGTCCTGGCAGCTCAGATAACCTGTGCTATTATTTGTATTTGACATGGATAACGGTTCAGATTAAATAATAATAGTTCTAATGTGAAATGTAGAGCCATGTATCACCTTGGCTGAGCCATGACCTCTTTAAGTACTTTACACATTACATTACATTGCATTTAGCTGACGCTTTTATCCAAAGCGACTTACAATAAGTGCATTCGACCAGGAAGATACAAACTTGAAGAAAACAGAATCATATAAGTACATCAGGTTTCATAGAGCTACAACATTGCAAGTGCTACTCAACTGGCTTTAGATAAGCCAGTACTTCATTAGTATATAAGTGCTTTGTTAGGAATTCCATCGCTCGAAGTGAAGTCGAAAGAGATGAGTTTTCAGTCTGCGCCGGAAGATGTGTAAGCTTTCTGCTGACCTTTCTACACTTTCCCATTCTTGCGGGTCTTTTTCTATGACAAAGCACTCCAGAGAGCTGCTGGTGTCTTCTTCTGGTCACTCCATGCTGAAGTCCCTTTGAAAGACTTACTGCAAAAATGTTTATTCTTTACCTCTTTCTTTCCTCTTTGGTTTACAGAGCGTGGGCAGCTCCACTCCAGCTCTTCAGTGGACAGTCCTACGAGTGAACTGAATACCTCTGTGGGGAACACATAACAGTAT